AAAAACATTCACATATACCCATAGACACATACATTCATACAGGTTGGTCAATGTGTTTATGTATGGAAGTATGTATGTATGTATGTATGTATTTATGAATGTATGTGTATGTATGTATATCTGTGTATATGAATCTATGTGTGTGTGTGAATGTGCGTCTAAGAATGTATGTGTGAATGTATGTTTTTATAGGTATATATGAATGTATGTGTAAATGTGTATGTGTAGGTGTATGTATGTATATGTACATATGTGAATGTGAATGTAATTTTAAAGTGTGAAAGGAGTAACGGATAAAAATGAGTACGCCACTATAAACATCTAGGTATCATGTATAACTTGGTGATAGTATAGATAATCATGTATAATAGAGGTGCGAAAAAAATGACGTCCGGTGCCCGAAATCTCGAAAAAAGAAAAGTCCGAGGTAATCCGTCGGAAATTACCGACGGAATAGCGACGGATATCTTCTTCCGTAGGTAATTACCTACAGAATACCTACGGAACAGGCCATCCGTCGTTATTCCGTCGGTTTCCGACGGATTACCTACGGATATTTTTTATTTTTGACATTTGGGGCACCGGACGTCGTTTTTTTCGCTTCGTTTTTTTCGCACTTCTATTATACATAATTATCAATACTATTACCAAGTTATACCTAATATATATGTGAATAACCATGTGCACCTATAGATCCGTTACTCCTTTCACACAGTTACTTCTTTCACACACATTCACACATACACACATATGTACATATGCATACATACACATACACAATTACAAAAACATTCACATATACCCATAGACACATACATTCATACAGGTTGGTCAATGTGTTTATGTATGGATGTATGTATGTATGTATGTATCTATGAATATATATGTATGTATGTATATATATGTATATGAATCTATGTGTGTGTGTGAATGTGCGTCTAAGAATGTATGTGTGAATGTATGTTTTTATAGGTATATATGAATGTATGTGTAGGTGTATGTATGTATATGTACATATGTGAATGTGAATGTAATTTTAAAGTGTGAAAGGAGTAACGGATAAAAATGAGTACGCCACTATAAACATCTAGGTATCATGTATAACTTGGTGATAGTATAGATAATCATGTATAATAGAGGTGCGAAAAAAACGAAGCGAAAAAAACGACGTCCGGTGCTCGAAATCTCGAAAAAAGAAAAGTCCGAGGTAATTCGTCGGAAATTACCGACGGAATAGCGACGGATATCTTCTTCCGTAGGTAATTACCTACGGAATACCTACGGAACAGGCCATCCGTCGCTATTCCGCCGGTAATTTCCGACGGATTACCTACGGATATTTTTTATTTTTGACATTTGGGGCACCGGACGTCGTTTTTTTCGCTTCGTTTTTTTCGCACTTCTATTATACATAATTATCAATAATATTACGAAGTTATACCTAATATATATGTGTATAACCATGTGCACCTATAGATCCGTTACTCCTTTCACACAGTTACTTCTTTCACGTACATTCACACATACACACATATGTACATATGCATACATACACATACACAATTACAAAAACATTCACATATACCCATAGACACATACATTCATATAGGTTGGTCAATGTGTTTATGTATGGATGTATGTATGTATGTATGTATGTATCTATAAATGTATGTGTATGTATGTATATCCGTGTATATGAATCTATGTGTGTGTGTGAATGTGCATCTAAGAATGTATGTGTGAATGTATGTTTTTATAGGTATATATGAATGTATGTGTAAATGTGTATGTGTAGGTGTATGTATGTATATGTACATATGTGAATGTGAATGTAATTTTAAAGTGTGAAAGGAGTAACGGATAAAAATGAGTACGCCACTATAAACATCTAGGTATCATGTATAACTCGGTGATAGTATAGATAATCATGTATAATAGAGGTGCGAAAAAAACGAAGCGAAAAAAACGACGTCCGGTGACCGAAATCTCGAAAAAAGAAAAGTCCGAGGTAATCCGTCGGAAATTACCGACGGAATAGCGACGGATATCTTCTTCCGTAGGTAATTACCTACCGAACAGGCCATCCGTCGCTATTCCGTCGGTAATTTCCGACGGATTACCTACGTATATTTTTTATTTTTGACATTTGGGGCACCGGACGTCGTTTTTTTTGCTTCGTTTTTTTCGCACTTCTATTATACATAATTATCAATACTATTACCAAGTTATACCTAATATATATGTGTATAACCATGTGCACCTATAGATTCGTTACTCCTTTCACACAGTTACTTCTTTCACATACATTCACACATACACACATATGTACATATGCATACATACACTTACACAATTACAAAAACATTCACATATACCCATAGACACATACATTCATACAGGTTGGTCAATGTGTTTATGTATGGAAGTATGTATGTATGTATGTATGTATTTATGAATGTATGTGTATGTATGTATATCTGTGTATATGAATCTATGTGTGTGTGTGAATGTGCGTCTAAGAATGTATGTGTGAATGTATGTTTTTATAGGTATATATGAATGTATGTGTAAATGTGTATGTGTAGGTGTATGTATGTATATGTACATATGTGAATGTGAATGTAATTTTAAAGTGTGAAAGGAGTAACGGATAAAAATGAGTACGCCACTATAAACATCTAGGTATCATGTATAACTTGGTGATAGTATAGATAATCATGTATAATAGAGGTGCGAAAAAAATGACGTCCGGTGCCCGAAATCTCGAAAAAAGAAAAGTCCGAGGTAATCCGTCGGAAATTACCGACGGAATAGCGACGGATATCTTCTTCCGTAGGTAATTACCTACAGAATACCTACGGAACAGGCCATTCGTCGTTATTCCGTCGGTTTCCGACGGATTACCTACGGATATTTTTTTATTTTTGACATTTGGGGCACCGGACGTCGTTTTTTTCGCTTCGTTTTTTTCGCACTTCTATTATACATAATATCAATACTATTACCAAGTTATACCTAATATATATGTGAATAACCATGTGCACCTATAGATCCGTTACTCCTTTCACACAGTTACTTCTTTCACACACATTCACACATACACACATATGTACATATGCATACATACACATACACAATTACAAAAACATTCACATATACCCATAGACACATACATTCATACAGGTTGGTCAATGTGTTTATGTATGGATGTATGTATGTATGTATGTATCTATGAATATATATGTATGTATGTATATATATGTATATGAATCTATGTGTGTGTGTGAATGTGCGTCTAAGAATGTATGTGTGAATGTATGTTTTTATAGGTATATATGAATGTATGTGTAGGTGTATGTATGTATATGTACATATGTGAATGTGAATGTAATTTTAAAGTGTGAAAGGAGTAACGGATAAAAATGAGTACGCCACTATAAACATCTAGGTATCATGTATAACTCAGTGATAGTATAGATAATCATGTATAATAGAGGTGCGAAAAAAACAAAGCGAAAAAAACGACGTCCGGTGCCCGAAATCTCGAAAAAAAAAAGTCTGTAGGTAATCCGTCGGAAATTACCGACGGAATAGCGACGAATATCTTCTTCCGTAGGTAATCCGTAGGTAATTACCTACGGAACAGGCCATCCGTCGCTATTCCGTCGGTAATTTCCGACGGATTACCTACAGATATTTTTTATTTTTGACATTTGTGGCACCGGACGTCGTTTTTTTTGCTTCGTTTTTTTCGCACTTCTATTATACATAATTATCAATACTATTACCAAGTTATACCTAATATATATGTGTATAACCATGTGCACCTATAGATCCGTTACTCCTTTCACACAGTTACTTCTTTCACATATATTCACACATACACACATATGTACATATGCATACATACACATACACAATTACAAAAACATTCACATATACCCATAGACACATACATTCATATAGGTTGGTCAATGTGTTTATGTATGGATGTATGTATGTATGTATGTATGTATCTATGAATGTATGTGTATGTATGTATATATGTGTATATGAATCTATGTGTGTGTGAATGTGCGTCTAAGATTGTATGTGTGAATATATGTTTTTATGGGTATATATGAATGTATGTGTAAATGTGTATGTGTAGGGGTATGTATGTATATGTACATATGTGAATGTGAATGTAATTTTAAAGTGTGAAAGAAGTAACCGATAAAAATGAGTACGCCAAAAAAACTCGGTGGCGTACTCATTTTTATCCGTTACTCCTTTCACACTTTAAAATTACATTCACATTCACATATGTACATATACATACATACACCTACACATACATATTTACACATACATTCACTTATCCTCATAGACACATACATTCACACATACATTCATAGACATACATTCATACATACATCCACACATACATTCATAGACACACATTCACACATACATTCATAGAGACACATTCAGACATACACATACATTTATATACACACATATACATACATACGCATACATTCATACATAATAATAATAATAATAATAATAATAATAATAATAATAATAATAATAATAATGGAAATAATGGTAATAGTAATAATAATCATAATAATAATAATAATAATAATAATAATAATAATAATAATAATAGTAATTGAAATAATAATAATAATAATAATAATAGTAAAAAATTAATAAATGACGGATTTGTGACGGGTTTGTGACAGAAAGTATACAAAAAATTAATAAATGACGGATTTGTGACGGATATAACATCCGTCGGTATTCTGTAGCTGTTCCATCACAATATCGTGAGTAATTTAGGGCAACGTTTTCCGTCGGAATTCCGTATGTATTCCGTAGGTAATTTCCGACGGAATTTTTCCGTAGGTAATTTTCGTAGGTATTCTCATTTTTTCTAGTAGTGATACCATGTCACATATCCCGGTAAATACTCACTCTACTTCGCCAATTGCAATAACCAATCCCTCGTGACCATGAATCTCCGCATAGAGCTCTACAACGTTGCAGATGACGACACTACCAAAGATTATTTATCAGCCGGCGAACCGCAGCCCTATGTTTATTTTGGATTCTTCCTCGTTTATCTGTATTTTCTAGGGTTTTGGGTCAACCTATGCTTCAAGAACCAGACACGTTTTCAGATGATCCATTTACTAATGGCTATGTTGGTTTGGATCACCGTACTTCACCTTATCTGTGCGGCTGCGGATCAACATGATTTGAAGGTTACAGGTACTCATGATGGATGGCATATCTTGTTTAACATATTTAAGGTAACGAGGTATGTGATTTTGTTCATTGTACTCATGTTGACCGCCGCCGGATGGAGTTTCCGGAAGCGGGTTTTGCCAGATTAGGAAATAATTCTTTTGACGATACTGATCTTAGTTCGTGTTTTTGTTAATGTGGGTTATATATTGGTAGGGGAATCCGACTCTTATTATGAAGATTGGTTGGATTTGAAACATATAATTATTCTATTTATAGATACCAACTGTTGCGTCGTTGTTTTCATCCACACTGCGTTTTTCTCGGATTTGGCGTTCACAAAGGCTTCGGATACGTCAACCTTTGGGATGGCGTTATCGCTCACGGATGTGTACCCTTTAATGGTTTTCGTATGCCTTTTAATTATGGTGATACAACAAACTCTCTTACAGGAAAGCAACAGTCTTGTGTTCTATATGGTGATGTTTTACATGTACAGGCCATCTGTTCTTGACGAAGACGGTGAAGACTGTAAGGAATCTCTCGTCTAGGTGATACAATGCCAGTAGTCAACTTTAGCTTTTCCTTGAACAATTTATGTGTTTGGTGTTTTTGTTTTTGAGTTTTAGGACATATAACTAGTTCGTTGAGATATGATTTATTTCAGAAGTTTGATTCATTATTTTTTCATAATGACTTTTTAACCTTTTGATTTTAACTGCTTCAAAATTATTTAGTGGTAACAATACTGAGAAGACAAACGAGCAACAAACTACACCGCTAAACTTTTTTGTATGATAAAATCGATTTTTTTTAAGTCTACATCCGTAGATCTAGGGGACATAACATTGTTATGCATGATCCGTTGTACCGTAGAAAGAAGCTCCACCGCATCCGACGTGAGGAAACCAAACGTATCAAACACGAATCGTATGAACACATATTGATTTTCCATGCACGACTTCTAATGTTTTGTGACTTTTCATGTAACAACTTTTAACGTAGCATGCCCCGCCATGAAACCCTCAACCTTCAAGCCCATGAGAGGGGATACCCCAGTAAGGTCCACACACATATGTTTCCCTCAAACCCATCCAAAAATCAAAACATCTACTTTAAGGGTTGATATTTCTTCTGTCTGGTCAGTCAAAAAATTCACAGGTGTCTCTATCTTGACGGAAATCACAACACGCTTAAATGACCCAGTTGTTAGTATATTTATTTATTATGTGCTTTATGTTGTATTTTGTATTAGCCCACTGTCATAGTTTGTCATACAACCCATGGACTCATGTACTTCGCCACATGTACTTAGTATTGTCATATGTTGTTACATACTTACATATATACTCTTGTATAGTTGTATCTCAAATTTTCAATCATTTGAAGTCAAACGATTCTAGTCAATATCATCGTATCAGCAGCCACGACTCTCTCCTAAAATATAATTTCTTTTTCTCCTTAATTTTCGGCTTTATCGACTGAACCCTAACAACCTCCTTCATTAGCCTTCCAAACTTTCCACCAACATATTGGGTGGAAGTGCTCAATAACATCCTTCCTTTCACCTCCATCCAAAACGAAATCCCTCACTTCCACCTATTTCACAAACATACAACTTACACACATATCCATGTTTTGGATGCATTTATTTTCCTCACACTACTACATTTAACAAAATAGAAACATGCACCATTCCCTAGCGTATTTCTAGGTTATCCTTCTCATCAACAGGGATGCCAAACAAAAAATGCAAGCATTATCGGCGTCACCAATATTATTGGCGACATAGGTGTAGTGGATAAAGCCTCCATCGCCACTAAAGGTGACACTGCTAATGCTTACACCTTGCAATCCGTATGCCTTTGCTAATACTCAATCGTAGTCGTTAAATCAATACGTAGATCCAATAGGCAGGGTTTAATGTCGTACAACATTAATAACGGTGACACCTTTAGGGGTGCCCATCTCACTGCATCCAAAATACCGCGAGCGATCTCTAACGTGATGAACTCGCATATCCTCTCATCAATCGGCTAAACACTGGCGCCTGAACCTGAACCAGAACCTCCTCCTCGAGTGCTCACCACCATACTGAAAGGCAACCATACAAATGATAAAAACATATCCGATATAACTCTCATGATTCAAGCTTCTTAGGGCCTCCACGACTCTCCTTGATTCGAGTACGGATCCTGTTCTTTCAGTAGTATGGGTCCAATACTATTTTCCATAGTTATCCATATTTTCCTCAAGAATTATCCCAAATCCTTTAAGTCACCTCCTCATAATGATACTCACAAAAATCTCTAAATAGCGCACCCATTGCACCAAAGCACTTCCTAGGCTCTTGTAGGGTTCCCACCTCACCTTGCCATCAGCTGCTAAAGGACTCCTACTAATGTCAGATAACTACCTCATGAATACAATCACATGCAACAAAACTTAAATAATTTTTTGATTAAAAGATCTTGCACTACAACGGTATGACTCAAACAAGAGTTGCGCAATAGAGACAATTCAATCATTCTAAAACTATTTAACCTTTGCAACATGTAACTTAACATATTCATCTAATAGTTAACTAACATCAATATAAGCCCTACAAATTAAAAAGCAAGCTGTACTCGAGCAACCTAACTAAATAGGCAACAAGGCATCATAAGGCATCTCTCTTAATAGACATTCTAGCATGCAATCCTTAACATATCTTTATTCTAACTTCAACCATGCATATCATACTATAACACATATAACATATCGACATGTATAAGTATTTTGGGAATCAGTTACTTGAGCTCAGGAGATAGTATGCATCCCACCACTTTCTTTGTAAAAACATTTTTAGAAAATTTATTTTCTTTTAAAAGATTATCAATTCTCTAGTTTGATTTAATACACACCGAAGAGTATGCACGGATCCCTCAAACCAAGGCTCTAATACCAACTTGTAACGTCCAATAATACCAATACAAATTTTCATGTTTAAACCATCAAATCCATACAACATTTGTTTCAAGGTTACCCCTTAATCCACCTTCTAAAACTAGCTAATTGACAACAAGTCAACGGTCAAAGTCAAAGTCAACAGTCAAAATCCTCATCAGCTAACCTCCACGTCGTGGCCAGACCATGGTTACGTCGTGGCTAACAAACTTTGTCCTGATCCAAAACTCCAGTTACGAACAACTCAGTAATGATCAAATCTACTATTATAACGTCTGGTTCCTGGTATGCACTTAAATTATTTATTTATTCATTTTAGAAGGGCTACTCGACGAGTTGGTGGCCCTAACTCGTCAAGTAGAAGGCAGAATATACACGGGTTTTAAGTGAGCTACTCGACGAGTCGAAGTCTTGACTCGACGAGTAGGACAGTCTGTATGAAGCCCTAATCTTTAGGGCTTGCACCCTATTTAAGCATCATATCTAGCCTCCACCCCAACCTCCATCACCTCCAAACCCTAATCTCGAAAACCTAATCAACCTTGAGTGATATTGAGCTATTTCTTGCCATTTTTGTGATTTAAAGCTAGAAGAAGGAAGCAAATGTTGGATTTGGTGTTTAAGCCCATAACTATTACTGGTATGTACTTAACCCGATTGTAGCATGGTCCCTTTTTGAGTTGCCTTCACCAGTGCAATTTGATAGGAAGGATTTTTGAGAATAAGGTTATTAATATATTACAAGTATAATATATTAATATTATTTAATTAGTATTGATCAAGAATTAATTTAGAATTAATTTTTTGATCAAAAAGAGACTAATTAAATATATGGGGATTGATTATGTAAATTAATGATTCTTGTAATGTAGGCTAATGATCCATGACTATATGGTTGGGCTAAACCAATACGATAATCCATGGATAGTCCATGGAGGTTAACCCATGGAGCATAAGAATGTGAAAAGTCATGGAGCGTTAGGGTTTACCAAGTGTAACCCTAGTGTTTGCCACATTATAAATAGTGACCCTATAAGCCAAAATCGGCTACACCCTCTTTGGAGTCAAGCATCTTATTCTCCTAAAACCTCCTCTTGCATTTTGGTGTTTGTGAACCAATAGAAGCATCACACTTGAGGTGCTCAAGCTTTCAAAGGTCAAGAACTCTACTCTACTCAAGAGGTAAGCATCAAAACTATGTTTTATATTATATAGCTTCAATTGTATGCTAGTTAGGGAGAATGCTTTGGAAAAAGAAAATGCATGTATAATTAGAGAAGACATAGGTCCAAAGCATTTAGGGTTGCATGTGCACCATATGAGTGTTATAGTGCTCAAAACCCAACAGTGGTATCAGAGCCTAGGATTGTTTTCTATTATATTTGATGCTTACTTGTTTTCAAAGTTGAAAAAATCAAGTTTTCTGCATTCTGTCTGATGAACTCGCCGAGTCTACTGGGGAACTCGACGAGTCCATGCAGTAATGAGGCTACTCGATGAGTCCAGTTCATGGACTCGCCGAGTTGGCTGATCAGAGTGCAGAAATTCGTGTTTTTGGCCAATATTGGATATGATTTTTACCCCAAACTATTTTGAATCATAAAAATATGTTTTTTTAAGATATGGTAATGATCATGCTCATCCAATTTGAAAGATAATTATCAAAGTTTTAAAATAGTTGTTATTTTATATGATAAACCAAATTGTTTTAGAATTGTTAATATAGAATTGCCTTGTGTATGAGTTTAGTTAGATCAAGAATTATATGATAATTTAGTTGTTAGAAATATGATCTAATTGATGTTTAATGACCTCCATAACTTGTCCTCAAGTTATGGAAAATGAAAGGTCTCATCGTTAAAATCAAATTAAACTCATAGGTTATGAATATGAAGGGTTTTGACAAGTTTCAAACTTGCTCTCAAGTTTTGGAATTTGCAAAGTCTCATTAAATGAAACTTTAATTCCAAACCCTAGAGTTTTAAAAGTTAAAATTCAACCCTTATACTTTATAATATAATAAGTTTAATATATATATATATATATATATATATATATATATATATATATATATATATATATATAAGATAAAGCCGGTCTTGCCGTTAGTAGGCCTCATTCACAAAGCCGGTCAATAAGGGGGGTATAAGGTTATTTCCTATAAAATGGTAGTTTAATGGGTGTCCACTCTCACCCACCGCTTCCTTGACTGGTGGAGGGTCGTTAGCCGAACGGGTAGGATAGGACATTAATACTCCTTCATTAAAAAGTATAATAATAAATATAAAGTAACTAAAATTTTATTAAATTCCCAATCTTAGTTACTTTAGGAAAAGTGTGAAAGGGTGCTAATCCATGAAATTACACTTTGCACCTTGTTAAGTCGTTAGTGGAGCGTGTGTGGTTAACCGACACACTAATGTGGGACTAACAATGTGTGGCAAATGGTAACTTTGTGTTAATCATAGATCAATGGAGTGTGTGTGGTTAACCGACACATTGATTAGGTGATTTGTAACATTGGATGTACCAAGCTAATTTGCATGGTTATTCACTCCTTGTTTGTGATCCTCGGCATCCCAGTCACAAACTTGAAGAGCACAAT